ACAGGCAAACCTGTATTATAGTCATTTTCTTATAAGTAACTACATTATATATGAAATGGATGAACTTGAGGGTAGAGGATTATTATTGGATTCAACTATAGAGAAGTGGCAATGGCAAAAGATCCAGTCACAACATTTAGGGTGGAGTGGTGCCATGTTTATGTGGAGAAGAGAGCATAGCAACTGTTCTGGATGCAGAAAGTTGCAGATTGAGGACCTAGAAACTTCCGGGGAGGTGCCTCCGGTAATGGCGGAATTCCTCTGACCGGGAGGAATCCGCTCCGTGGGAATCTGGGTCTGGCCGCCACGGCGAAGGCGGAGACCCGTTAAAATCACAGGCGGGAGAAGCCTGTGAGCGTGGGATTCGGCGGGCACTTTTGCGCCTCCCCCACTCGTGGGGAACCCCGGGTTTTGGGGGGTCCGGAGCGACGTGGGGTGAGCGGCGCGGTGCATCGAATCGTCTGCTTCTTCCACTGAGCGAAGCCGCATAGCTGTTGCCGGAGAGCGCTGACCTTTTCCTGTGGACAATTTGACTTTAAAGTAATTACCCGTGAGTAGAGCTGAAGTGGAAGAATTGGATTTCTAAATGTTTAATTTGGTACTGTAACGGGGAGGTTCAAAACAGGAAGTACGCCTTCCCCTCTTGTAAATAGACAGAGGCAATGAAGTTGCAAGCTGGAGTCCTGGAAAGCCTTTTGTAAAAGATTAAATTTCCATCTGTAAAGAACATTAAACCCCCTCTTGGAGGCAGGAGAAGAGAGGGGGAAGTTGCAGATTGAGTATGCCTGTGGGAGAGAGCGAAGAGATTTAAAACACCGCCGCTCTGACCCTGGAAACGGGCTGCTAGCAGGACTGACGTCTTTTGGAATGTTCATTGACAGCGTTTAGAAGTTCATTGACAGCTAGTTAAACAAGAGAAATACATTGTTTCTATTGTCTCCGGCTGCTTTAAAAAGGAGTAAAAGTAACTGAAAATTGAAACTAATTTTGGATTGTTTAAAAGAGGATACTATTGACTATTACAAATAGAAACTGTTTCCCCCTAATGGAAGCCTTTGAAACTGGTTGCTTTATAAGAGCTGGGCTAGGGGAATTTCCAGCTGCAAGTTAAAAACCGTGAGACTCTGGGACTGACCTTGAATCTTTTAAGTGTTATGGTAAATGGAAGAGGAAAAACAGACCAGTCAACTGCTGACAAAACATTAAGGTCTGGGAGGACTTGGCAACAATCCAGAAGAGGTCCATCATCAGGCCCCCCCTGCTCCTTCTGTCGCTGCCTTTGTACCAGTATATTTAAAACCAAGAGGAATGTCGACAGAAGAGGCTTTAGTGGCTGCATTATATAAGATAAATGACTCACTGGATCAGCTTAACAGGAAAATGGACACGATAAATGCGAAAGTGGATGTTTCAATTACTAAAATTAACTTAAATACAGAAAGTATAAATAATACCAATACAGAAACCACCCAGAAATTGATACAGGAACCTACTTTGATACGGCAAACTGCGGAGGAAGCCAGGGAAAAGTTGTTGTTGCTGAATGTAAAGTAACACAACTGGAGAGAAAGAGAAAGAGAGCCCCAGCCCTACAGAGGCAATTTGATGAACATAAGTTGACGCTTGCTATGACTGAACTTAAAGAAAAACAGACGAATTTGAGGATTAGAGTTCACCTTTGGTGGACATGCCCAAGGATTAAGACACTTTGGGAGATGATTCATAACGAAATGAAAAAGGTATTTAAATATACCCTTTTGAAGAAACCAGAGGCCTTTCTCCTGGGCATGGTCGGCCAATTGGTGTTAAAGAAGGATAGAACTTTTTTCACGTATGCAACAATAGCAGCAAGAATACTAATTGTGAAGTATTGGAAGACACAAGATTTATCTACTCAGGAAGAATGGCAGATGAAGTTGATGGACTATATGGAATTGGCGGAAACGACTGGCAGAAATCCGAGACCAGGGAGAAGAGTCGGTGGAAGAAGACTGGAAAAAGTTTAAGACTATTTATAGAAATACTGTAAAAATAATGAATGTTAGAAAAATGTTGGAATGAAGTTGTATGGCTTTAGTAGAAATGTTATAAGGAATCAAGTATAAATAGATTAATAGAGTATTAAAGGGAAAAATAAGGTTAGAATGTGTTAAGATAATTATAGGATAGAAAACAAAGGAAGATGGAAAGGAATTGCTGAAACAACTAACAGAAGTGGAATACAAAAAGGGAGGTGTGAGGAGGTCATGGAAATAAGGGAATGAAAGATAAGATATTGAAATTGTTCTGTGTTTTAAATGGTTTGTGTCTTGTTTTGTTAGTCTTATGTGTTAGTGTTTTGTTGTGTTTAAATGGTTGGAAAATTAATAAATATTATTTTTTTAAAAAAAGAGGACCTGGAATCTCAAGATAGGGCTGGAACTCTTGCAGGTTCTGCTAGTGAGTGTAGACAATGCCAAGGTAGTTGGACCAATTAGTCCAGAATCTGTGGATTCTGGTAACACACATACGCATGTGGTTCCTGGACAGCCTGTCCTTGGGCTCCATAAGCAAGTGGATGTACCAAGTGTTCAAAACAGCAACAATTGTTCCAGTTTTAACATAGTCTAGAGTGTGGTTGACGCAGAGACAGTCAAACTGTGAGAGAAATATGGGCGAGACAGGATGTGGCTTTCTTAAAGGTTACATGCATATATAACACCCAAATTCTTGATCTGGAACCCAACTCAGGCAGCCTGGGGCATGATAGGACATATGCTGGCCAAAGTGGAGGGCAAGGTGGCACCCTCCCCATTCCAAATAAGCACATCTGGCAGATGAATCTTACTCCAACACTGGCAACGGAAGAGCTCCATTTACCACACCCAAGTGAGACATGCTAATTTAGGTGGCAAAGGGCAGAGATTGTGTGGCACTCAAAGGTATATCCTCCCAACAGATGGGTATGGCCAGGGGGCTCATGAGGAATGGCTAGAGAGCTGCCCTGTCATCTCCCCAGAATCTGCCACCTGAGATTACAATCTCCCTTTGTCCTCTTCCACCTGATATATCATCAGTTAATCACAGGGAACAGTGACTTCATTGCTCAGCTGGAGTCCCTAACAGGGCCAGCAATTTCTTACCTATACGTCATACTTCTGTAGTTGAATAACCACTCATTCCAATGTTGCTGGGCTCTTATGGGGTTTGTAAAGGTAGTTTCCAGTGGCTTGTGATCTGTCAGAATCTTTGCAGGCATGTCAAACAAACATTGTGATGGAACTTGATCCTGAACATGGTGAATGCCCTGTGCGAGCTGCAACAACGGTCCTAAAAGTTGTGCAGAGTTAGCCTGGGCTAAAGTCCAGGGTATGGTATTTAATTTCTCTGATCAGATGCTACAATGCTCTCTGTACTCCACATATCACAGCCCTAATAATTGGAGTAGAGGTATGCTGAATCTTATAGGAAGGAAATATGTAGTTTGATTTCCACTGAAATCCAACAAACCTTACGTGTGGTTCATTGCATGCTATAAACCACCGCACTTCATCGACAAACACAAGCATAACAAATGGGTGACAAGGGAATTTCACAACACTCAACAATGAAGTGGTTCGGGTCAGCAAATTCCCCTTTTCTCTAGTTCAATCCATAAACTCATATTCCACTACCATCCCTCATACACAGTTGACACATTAGGAATGTGCCATACTGCCCTTCAGCCTGTCAATTTCCAATACGCTGTAGTAAGGAAAGGAAAAGACTGTCTCCTCTGGCTTCTCATTGAGATATATTGTTCTGTGTTCCCAGAAACTAACTATCTGGGTGGTATCTTATGCAGACTTGAAGAATAGTCATTCCTTTTCAGGAATGCATGAAAGCGTGATAAAGGGGCAACAGTGACTTTTCTTGAGTCCATTCATTCAGGTCATGTCCTCTAGACCAGCAAAGGGAGTGTTTGTTCCATCTTCTACATGACTGAACTTTCAGATGCTGGAAGATGGGACAGTGGTCCTTCCCTGTCCTTCTCCATGCATTCAGTATCTTCTGCTTAGTCTTGTTAACAAGGCCATTATAATTCCAATCATTGAAAGTTTTCAGCAGTTGTAATTCATATGGATGTACTGTGATCAACTAGAGAGAACTGTGGTTTGTGGCTTTGCTGAATGCTAGTAATAGCTGGAGTAGTGTTCTTGAAGCTACCAACATGAGTTTGCCCAAATTGCGGGAGGTAGTGGAAGACAGGAGTGCCTGGCATGCTCTGGTCCATGGGGTCACGAAGAGTCAGACATGACTAAACAACAACAACAAAATTAATAGACATGACTAACTGAAGTCTATTAATTTCAATGGTCCTCTCTGAGTAAAACACAGTGGAATTGCAAGAGAAATCCATGTTCCCATACCTTCTGTGATAACTTAGTAAGATGCAGATTTTAGAGGGCTAAAGGGACACGGGTGGCACTGTGGTCTAAACCACTGAGCCTCTTGGGTTTGCCAATCAGAAGGTTGGTGGTTCAAATCCGCATAATGGGATGAGCTCCAGTTGCTTTGTCCCAGCCTAGCAGTTCGAAAGCACGCTAGTGCAAGTAGATAAATAGGTACCACTGTGGCAGGAAGGTAAATAGCGTTTCTATGCACTCTGGCTTCCGTCACAGTGTTCCATTGCGCCAGAAGCGGTTTAGTCATGCTGGCCACATGACCTGGAAAGCTGCCTGTGGACAAACGCTGGCTTCCTCAGCCTGAAAGCAAGATGAGCACCACAACCCCATAGTTGCCTTTGACTGGATTTAACCATCCAGGAGTCCTTTACCTTTATTTAAAGTAATAGGGAGCATTTTGAACCGAGCCCAAAAGCTACCCAGAAACTGGTGTGGATGAGCAACCAAAGGTCACAAGGAATGAATTTTCATATTATGCAAAATGGGAAAATAGTAGGCCGAGTAGAAAAAAATATATACTGTATGATTTCAGACCCTCCAAGTGTCCCTATTTTCCAGGGACAGTCCTGAATCTGCAGAAGGTGAAAAGTGGGGAGAGAGAGGGGGAGGGAGAGAGATGGGGGAGGGGGCTAAATATATTTCATTCTATTGCATAGAGTTTGTGCATGGTTTTTGTGTCAGGATCATGTAGGTAGGTCTCTCTCTCTCTCTCTCTCTCTCTCTCTCTCTCTCTCTCTCTCCATTGCTTTGGATAAAATGGGAGCTTGTAAATTTCATTAAGGGCGCCCCTAACTATTTTCTGATAATCCGAGCACGAGGATACTTCCTTTTTTATGTGCTTAATGTGGAAATTAGGGAGAGGGTTTGTCAAGATCAAAAGCTAGAAGGGAAAAAAGGATGTGCAGTGATAGCAATTATCCAATTTCAGCTTTCAGGCTTTCAGAGGAAGGGCAGTAAAAATTCTGCTCCTAAATTCCAGTAATTTTTAATGCTGCAAAGTTTCCATATCCTTTAAATATATATATACTAAAGGAAAAGGTATTGGTTCAGTCCGGAGGATGAATCTCTCTGAATTGCAAAAACCAGGGTGAGAGGAAGGAAGGTAACAATCCATAGAGGAGCATATTTCAGTTTTGAATTTTTAATAGGCCATTATAGCATAAAAAGCTGTGGGCAGAGAAACCATTTTAGAGTAAATTAAAATACCTTGACAATATCAATTGAACTTTAGCAGAGCAGCCAAGTGATCCAAGTGAATGAAAAGTGATGAAAACAGGGGACATGTTTATAAATATGTGTGTCACCAATCCATTTGGGTTATGGGATCATTTCGCCTTCTGGGGAATTAACATGTCATGTTCACCTGAATGTGTCATAGATCATCCATTAGTAAACCATTCTTATGATTCTATGCAGTCCCTGATCTTTTGTCAGGACACAATGAAAAATAATTGCTCACTTAACCAATACACTTAGAACCGGAGAGCATAATAAATGGGTGGCTTTTGGAGGAGACTTTGGTTCACCTTTACTGCCCATAATGCTTTTACTATATATGTTCTGTCCTATTTTTAGATGGGCTTAGACAGTTCCTAAAAACACACAACTTAAATACATTAATGCATTTTAGTTTATTATTGTTAGTTTGTGTTTACATTTTAACTTTCCATTCTTTCTTGTAAACTGCTCTGGAAATGTCATTAAAGGCTGTTGCAAAAGTACCTTTAACCAATCCACAAACAACTAAAAAATATTTGAGTCTTTGAGCCAGAAAGAAAGAAAGAAAGAAAGAAAGAAAGCTTTTAATTGTAAAGTATCAAGTAATAAATGGTGTAGAAACATCATCAGATAGATTTGTTATCATGAAATAAGGCAGTTATGTGATGATTTTGCCCTTTTCATTTGGTTCCAGAGAATGGGAACCAAAAGAATAATAATAATAAAAAACTCAAAATGTATGCCTGCATTTTTGCCTTGCCTTCTGCCTGTTAATGAACTGCAATTACTGGGCAACTAGCAGCATGTTATGGATTAAATGAGGATGCAAATGCTTGATTTACTGACTAAATTATAAGGAGTGGTGGATGAATCCTCCTCGATTTTTGAAGGCAATTATTAAAATCACGGTGCTTTATTTTTATTCTTAAAATCTCATTGTTGGTATCTGTCTGTCTCGAGAGACAATGGAGTATGCCTCCAGGGGTGAAGTCAAACGTCTGCATTAGCAGCACCAAAGTGACCTCCCCGGGGCACAAGTCTGGGCAGTGTGTCTGGAGGTATAATTAGGTCAACCCTGCTAAAGGGCAGTCAGCAGCTGTGGGGGAAGGAGGATAGGCGATAATGAAACAGTAGGGCATTAGGACCCAACATGCATTCCTCAAATTCTATTCTGTAACACAAGAATGGGAACTGAAAGGAGTCAGCTGAGAAAACTGGAAGGATAAGAGACATAACAAATGGATAAGAGTGTGGAAGGAGAGAAAGGCTGCTTATGTTTGTAGCTCCCCCAGGTTACAAATGTGTCCGAAGGATCCAGACTGGTGGAAATGTATAGTCCCAAATGAGACTTCATTTTCATTTTTCTGCCTCTCTCTTGTGTGAAACAGCCATAACAGATCAAACACAAGAGGCCATCCAATGTCATTCCACAACATTGGAATTTGAATGCAGCCAGTATTTTTCAATGGAGCCAGGTCACACAATCAGATTTATGCCATTTAGTGAGGTCATAGAATGATATTGTGTCAAAATTTGTTGTTATATTTTTGCTGGTATATGCAGAAACCTTTCCCTTAAGGCAAAAAGGTAAAGGACCCCTGGACAGTTACATCCAGTCAAAGCCAACTATGGGGTTGCAGCGCTCATCTCGCTTCAGGCCAAGGGAGCTGGCTTTTGTTCACAGACAACTTTCCGGCCAGCATGACTAAACTGCTTCTGGCTCAATGGAACACTGTGACAGAAACCAGAGTGCACTGAAATGCTGTTTACCCTTGACTGTTAGGTCCAGTCGTGGCCGATTCTGGGGTTGCGGCGCTCATCTTGCTTTATTGGCAAGGGAGCCAGCGTACAGCTTCCGGGTCATGTGGCTAGCATGACTAAGCTGCTTCTGACGAACCAGAGCAGCACACGGAAACACCATTTACCTTCCCGCCAGAGCGGTACCTATTTATCTACTTGCACTGGTGTGCTTTCAAATTGCTAGGTTGGCAGAAGCTGGGACAGAGCAACAGGAGCTCACTCAATCGTGCAGATTCGAACTGTCAAGCTTCCATTTGGCAAGCCCAATAGGATCAGTGGTTTAGACAACAGTGCCACCCACTCCCTTATATGTTTTCTGCCATGTCTATACTTTCTTCTATACTATTCAGGAATTGTTTTGAAACCTCTGCTCTATGGTTCAGGTTTACAGTGCTGCAACAGATGCCTGCCCTCTGCCCTGATCCTGAACAGAGTTTGGAATAGGGGCAATTTACACCAGTTTAATTCTAGTTGGCAGAAATTCTGCAGGTTCCTAAATTGTTACTATCTGACACAGATCCAACAATGTGGGAAACTGGTTGTTTAGACCATGTGGCCACAGAGGAAGGCAATCCCTGCCCCTTCCTCCCAATTCATTCACAATTTGGATCCTGCCAATTCTTTACAAATTGGTGCAACTAAACAACCAACAAATGCACAGCCAACCATAAAGCATGGATCTGGTTAAAATGCCACACCAGGTGGAAGCACACTACTGGCTTCTTAATTGCATGTGCATCACAGTATGTTTGCAAGCATTGAACATGTGGGATACAGTTGTCTGCACCTAATGTGCAAAATATGTGTGTAAATTAGCCCTTTGCCACTCAAGAAATTAAGAAGTAAAATCACCTGTTTTAGCTTACTCACTGCATTTCCCCGAGCAGTCAAATTATATCTGGCATTCAGCTCTTCATCTTTTGTCCATGCAGATATCTGCACATGAGCCCAAGGAAAGGGACATTGATGTGGTTGTCTTAGCTCTCCCTGTGCTTGTCTAAAAATTCATTGTTTGAATGGCTACTTGTCAATGGAGGGGTTAAAGTGGAGCAATTTATCTACTTGAATGGTGGGAAAGGGGGATTCAAATGTCTTTCTGCTGCTGATCCACATTCAAAGGTACTTACTCTGTATAAATGGAGGCAGAGAATAGACTAGGTTGTTTTTAGGATAAAAACTAGCATAAATATAAATGGGGGGAGGGGGTAGATTTTCCAGAACAAGGTATTCCAATTAGTTCAGCCCAATTTTCTATTAAGCTGTGTGCTGCAGATAGACACATTGGGCCTTTTATGAGCTTCATTGTAATGTTTATCATTTATTTGTTCATTACAAAAATTTTGCTTCTCTCAGCATTTGAAATGCACGGAGATGCTTTCTTTAATCTGGGGATATTAAATTTTGAACTGCAGTTACAGGAAGAGCCAGCAGAACTGCTTCTAAGACTGCAGGAGTTTTTTGCTTCCAAGAATACATATTGCTGATAATCTTTAAATTCACCGTAGGTGCCCGACTATAGGGTATAATAAAATCAATTGTCGAAAAGGAAATTGACTGCAGCATTACACGGAAACGTTTGTGCTTAAGAAAGCCAAGCTTATATTGTTTTGCTGTGGGCAAGAAATATTTCAGAAATCTGTTCTGTTCTGTAGCAGCTGGGACCAATTCAAGAGAGCATCTCCTGATAGAGATACCTTGCAGGCTGAGTGAGAACCAACCTCTCAGCCTCCCTTCCTTGTTTCAATGGATTTGGGTTGGAACTGCCACCAGGCAACTACTAGCAAGAGGTGGCTGCTTTCATCACCAGCTGAGTGAGATCCAGTTGATTCTTCGTCCCACTCACTAGCCCCAGAGGAATTTGGTGGGAGCTGCTGTGTGGTAGGAAACCAGAGCTGGATGACAAGGTCAAGTTCAGGAAACATTACCTGGATAATCCTGGTTACATAAGGACATTGGCTAATTTCTGTTCTTGCACTACTTGATTCGAACGGGACTTTTGTTTTGAGAATCTTTTGCAAGCCACTTTGAGGGGCTATAAAGTGAGATGTAAGCCTTTTGTGTAAAATGAACCAATATATTATGCCTCGCTGCTATTTGTGAAAGTCAAAATATATCTTTTAGCCTCTGCTTTTAGAGTCAAGGAATATTATGCTCATATGCACAAACGAGCGACAAGAGCTACAATGAGCTGCATGAAGTACAAGAGAAGGTTGAAGAGAAAGCCAAGCCAAGGCTTTCCCAACCTTGCTGAACATGGTTTAAAGCAGGCCCCAGTGTCCTCATCTGCTCTACCACTGACTCTTTAGCCTTTCAGTTAATATTCATGCTCAAGGAGCAGTGTGGTGTGATGATGTTGGGCTATGACTTGGGATACCAGACTTCAAATCCCTACTCAGGGATGAAACTCACTGGGTGACTTTGGGCAAGTCAGTCACTCAGCCTTACCTGCCTCATGTGAGGATGAAAATGGAGAGGAAGAAAAACATGGACGCCCCCTTCTGATCTTTGGAGGGAAGGTAGAATACAATTGTAATAAGCAAACATACATGGAGCCAGGTGAAGTTATGCTGTGAGCTCGCTGCTGCCCATGGGTAATGGAATTGTTTTTGTGCTGACTTTGGGGATCACTTTTGGGAATCAATATGGTGTCTATTGGTTATTCTGTTTTTGTGTGTTAATAAAAGTTTGAATATGTTGCCTTATTTCTGCCCTCTTTTTTGGTAATGCCCAGGGATGATAAGAGTTGCAGTCCAATAATACCTGGACAGCCACAGATTCCCCAGACCTGCTTTGGTTCATCAACTTTTTGATGACTTACGTTAAAGGCAATAAATCCAGAAATCAGTGACACAATACTCTGCTATTTCTGCAATGATGCAGATAGTAGATTTCAATAATTTATTCAGAAATTTATGTATGTTGAATGTCCTTCCACAGCATATAAGGACACTGGACTGGAAATAATGACTTTATTATGATATTTCAAGATTCCTCATCTGGAAATTATGGGTGGAAAAAACAATCATACCCCATAAAAATTGCAACCAAATCTTTTGTATATCCACATAAAATATTTTTGTCTTGATTTAGTGGAAACAAGATATAGTCAACCTGAATTTGACATAATAATTCTGAGAGACACTTCTCAATGAATTAGTCAAATATTGACTCTGTACTGAATAACAAACTGTGCAAGCAGTACTATCGCTTAAAGGGCATGGCAGATTTATTAGTTGGGATAGGGAGGTGGGAGGAGAGGAAAGATGGGTTTTCTTTCATAATTTAGAAGTCCTTTAAGATGATACAGTGATCTATGTTACAAGGTCTCAAACCAAAGAAAATATACTTACCTTTGATGTTGATTGAAGTAGTACTAGACAAAACTGAAGAATCACTGAGTGAGTCTAAAGTCACAATATTTTTGTTAGCTAATGATACCATGATAGTTAATCCATGGTAAATATCAGCAAGGCAATGCTCTTGTTTCTTTGTACAAATTAAATTAACTATTCCCCATCATGCTTCCCAACATCTACATGAACCTACCATGTGTACGTCTCCTTTGAAATGTCACAGCTATGCTAAGAGTCTATGCAAATCTTTGCCTTGTTTCCATTTTCTGAGTCTAAGAAGTGCTGAACAAGTATGGGGCAGGGCAGTTTTAGACTAAATGAGAGTATGAAAGGGGGAGAAATTCATTCAGCTTTCATGTTAATATGAACCCTACATAACTCACACTTCTTGAGCTATCTGAATTTCTCACTTCACCAAATTTTTTGATGAAGTTCTCCAACCAAAAAGTTGTGTACGAAAAAGCATGCCAAGGGTAAAGTGTATGCAAAAGTTGCATATTGGTGTAAATAACATGCAAAAGTGCATTAGGAATGATTTCTTATAAATGAGTGAATTAAGAGGAAGGCACTCAAAATGTTTTGAATATTTTTGCAAACTATTTTTTTTTAAAGAAACCTTTGTGGAAAAGGAGCAATCTAGGATTTCTCATTTAAACTGAAAGATTTGCCCACCCCTAGATGAAAGCAAAGAAATGGAAACTTGCTCAAGACAAGATGGAGGAGCTGTTGGCTGGAGAAAATATGCATGTACAGCCAATCTTTCCTATTGCCTCCACTTCCTCATAGAAAACTACAAAGCAGCCACAGCAAAAACAGATCGCTCTCAATGCCCGTTGTGACTCACCTCTCCCTGAAAGCTTGAAGAAGGAGGGGCATCATTACCTGCTGAAAATATAAACATTCTTGACTGAAACCCTACACCGTAAGGAAAATTAATGTCTACATCAGAGTAAAGGAATGGAAATGGTTGCCCACCTGGTCCTGTCTAGCTTAACTCAAAACATTCACATCACATTCAGCGTACAAGTTATTTCAATTATACGCTACTTTTGAGTACGTAACTCCTGCTGAGGAAATGTTGGGATCAGGTGCCAGTGTGGAAAAATAATCACAATATGCCATCAAGAGTCCCAGTGCATAAACCAAAAATACATTTCGCCTGTCCACCCCCCGCAATTTCCCTCCAATGTAAAATGCAACTCTGGCTATTGTACTTATGCCTCTTTCCAATGCCTGTGTTGTTTAGATACTTTTGTCATGATAGGCTCCAAGGTTAGCCTTTATTCATAAGGTTCAGGCAAGAATAGCTGGAAGTGAATACATATTGCCGTAAAATTGCTATTCATATTGATATAGCCATACCTGCAGCTATTGTGTATGACAATATTTAGATCATAATCTGGTTATTTTGTCCTACACTGAATGTAAGACAAAGCATCAAAGATATTTGGATTTATATTTAGACACTATCTCGCAGCTTTGGGGCTCCAATCTTTTAAAGCCCAGCTTTTTTAAAAACTGCGTTGTTTTTCAGCAGGTCTATGCAACTTGTTGAAATCTAGGAAGCCAAGCACAGCTCACAGTGCCGCATCTGCGAGTCCGCTGGGTCTTCTGGAGGCTATGAAACAAAACAGAAGAATAAACACCACAAGAGAGCTGTCAAACAATGGACAGGCCCCAAAACTTGTCTGATGGAATTAGTTTGGTGGATCATGTTGTGCAGGCCTGATCTGGAGGAGAAAATTGAAGGGAGGGGAAATAAATTTGCAGCATGGTCATCTAAAAGAAATCTTAGCACTGAATCCAAGACTGGACATCCTTTTGATCATCTCCACGGATTTACAACTCATGCCACCTTCAGTGGCAAAGATGGTGGCTGGCATCCCATAGACTCCATCTTGGAAGTGCCATCTTTCCCATCCACCATCATGAATGACATTCCATTGTGAGAGAGGAGCTAAACTTGGAATATAGTAAGGTGCATCAGAAGGGAGCACCTAGACAGAGCTTTTAGCCTTATTATCTATTGTGACTGACCATGGACTGATGATGTTGCCTTCCAGTAATAAATGTACCAAGCTATGCCTCTGTTTGGTCATCAACTAGGAGAGAGAACATCCTTTTGACACTCATAAAACTCTTCACAGATCTACTCAGTCTTTACTGACTACAAAAAGGTGCTAGAATTTAAGATCTAACCACCTTTTGAATCCAGGTATAAGTATGTCTGTGGTTGCCTGAAATTGGACTCTATTGGACTATAAATAAGGAAGTTATAGTACACCATTGAAAATGGCGGATTCTATAGGCTTGGTTTTAATCACAGCTATCCCTGATTGATGGGCTTCCCTTTGTAATTTGTTCTACTGCCGACTATTCTCATGATAAGTTAACAGCAGAACAAGTAACCATGGGAGGTAATGGAGTCCCTCAGAGGATGTTTCACAGACTAGGCAACATTAACATCTGTAAAGTACTTGTGATTCTTCCCAAAGCCAGTGAGTTATTCAATCTTAGGCTCTAAGGATTTATAACATCTTTTGGTTTGGGGGACATAAGCATTTGTATTGCAGCTATTAGTTATGGCTGTTTCCTGGAATCAATTGAACAGAGCTGCTGTTTCTGATTTTTCTCTGTCTCATATTATTCTTGCTATACCAATTATTAATGGGTGTTCTGAGATAATCCAATATCTGTTATAGCCTTGCTTCTGTTTCTTATTTTCAAAGCACCAATAACATGATGCACATTAGAAATACGCAAGGCAACATTAATTGTTTTTCAGTATCATCATTCAAACACGAATACTGGTTTACTTTCAGTCAAACAGTCAAATCTGAAATTGTATCGTATGTTCACTATGGAAGTTCATTTTAACTGTGTTACAACAAATGGATTGTGTCTAAGGGGTCAATTTAAATTTCAGATAGGTGCAGAGGGGTGTGTGCATGCCTGCAAGGGTAGTTTTGAAATTTTCAGAGGAAGCGATTTGCTTACCCACCTCTCTCTGAATTATTTTGGGAGGAATTTGTCTGAAAAGAGAAGGGAGGCACAGAAAGGGGTTCACAGCAGATAACAGAAAATACCAAAGTCTAACAATGAGGTAGGTTCAAATGTGGATGCTCATGAGCTTAGAGGGTGAGCAGAGTGGGACCGAGAAAGCTCACTGGGTGACCTTCAGCCAGTCTCTTAGCGTACTGCACCTCAAAGGGTTGTCAGAAAGGTACCTGTTCAAACCAAATGCACACCTTAACTGTACATAAAGATAAACTTGAAGTCAGACTAGAACAAGGGTAGCAAATATTATGCCCTCCAGATGTTGGACTACAAACCCTGACTGCAGGATTTTTCTCTTCTGCTGCTGTTACAGCAGCAACACCACCACGCATCACCCTCCTTGCTCCCCGCACCCATTGGATAACATTTGAGAGGGGGCAGTACTGCTTTGGAGTGGGAGCCGGGCTTGGCCCTCATCTGTGATGGCCACGGGCCATCTATCTTAATTTATTCAAACCGGAAAGTCCTAACTTATAGATTAATTAAATCACTTGACAGATCTCTCCAGCCTACAGATCATGAAACGTGTGGATTCCATAGATCAATTAGGCTGGGTTCTCTCTCTGTTACAGAAATATAGGCTGAGGCATTGCATTTGGGGTAAATTAAAATGGTGCAGGACCATCACAGATGTGAGCCAAACTCCTATTGAAAAGCAGCTGCAATGCCAAACCTGGTTGGCTGAAGGCTGAAGGCCTGGTCATTCACACATGCACAGAAACCATGTGAAAATGCTAGATATCATCTATTTGGAGAACTTCTGGTGGGGGAAACAAACAGGCCTCAAATGAGTCAAGGCATGTGAGGAAAAAGTTCCAGCCAAGAAAGTTAACAATGCTGTAATTGTCATTGCTGCAACTGGTGACAGCAGTCACCATTGTCAGAAATTAATCTGCAATAAGGATGAAACTCTAGCACTACCCTGCTTACACAATGGAGTTACATGGAAGAAAGCAGGAAGGGATTAGGATCAGCTCCTCAGCGTCTAAATACTCTGTCTCCTTGACTGAAAGCTTCATCTTCAGTTAGAACATGAGCGGCAATGCCAGAGGGGATTTTAAAAAGATATTTTCTGGGGCTGGGGGAGGAGAAAGGAGAAGCATAAGCAAATGTGTAGCACCCTGCTTGTGGTTAACGCTTAGCTGGAATGAAATATTCAACGCAGCAATAGAGAAATTAAAATAATAATTTATTTGTCAGACAAATAAATGAGAGACACAGTGGTATATGGATACCAAAGCTCTGCCTACTCCAGCCCTGATGGCCAGCACTTATATTTCCTCAGCCCAGCCCCCTTGCTCCTCCTTTGGCTGCCTCTGTCCAATCAGCCTGGTTGAAATTCCTATTGGTTGTTTGCTAGAACCAATCATAAAAGATACACCCATTTCCTATTCCCTTTTATGGGAGACAAAAAGCTATATTTCCTTGTATCCATAAATGGCAGACAAGTAGCCATATATCTTACATTTACCTCGACCAGGCACCTCAATTACCAGATAACCTTTGGCCCCTGTTGCCCTATTCACCGCAAACCAGATGGCTAAAGCAGATGGTGCATGGTTTCTAATTTTTTTATCTTAAAGAGATCTTGAGTTCACCTTCTCACCCACCATAATAGGAATCTAACATAAGAATCTAACATTTCTTACTTTCTAAATCCTTTGCATAATCACATTTAAGCCAATATATTTCATACATAACATAGATAGATTTTTAGAAGGAAAGGCCTTTTCAAATTAGAAGGAACTTAGTAAATTCTCTGAAGCTTCAAAACAGTTTGGAGAGAGGCCTTTTTCCCTAACCAGCAGCTGTTTCTAAGAGCAACCTCTTCCATTTAACCTTTAACCTTATGGCTCGAGTCTTCTGTTAAACAATAAATTTCACTATTTACCAGTTCTTAATTGTGTTTTTACAGCTTGATTGTATTCTGGTCAGTGTGACCTTTTGCTCTCTGGCTCTAATTTCCTTTTACAACCTTGAAATACTTTTATTTATAGCAGTGGGGCCCCTTGAACAGCTGCCGGAGTATTCAGCTGCTCTTCTCCCTTGCAGAGAAAAATATATTTACAAATATAATTTTTTTAAGCTCAAAGCAGATTTTGATCAGATGCCTCATTCCCCCCTTTCAAGCTCAAGGACCTTCATCCCAAGTGTCCTTGATAGCTTGACCTTCGTCATATTCCTGAGGTAAAGCTCTGTATAGGGCCATAATATGAGGTAAAGTTTCATTTGAAATCATCTTGCTAATTGTACTTCTAAAACATGAAATGATACATGGCACCGTACATAAAACCATTACTACTACCGTCAAGAAAAACAAGCAAGACAATAGTATCCCTTTGAGTCCCGCAACATTAGGTAACCAATTGGTGAGCCATCCCATATCCCATCCTTCCCATATTTGTACTGGGACATGTGCTATACTCTCCATCTTTGTGGCCAACACACGGATTGCCTCACCATTATCAGAAATGTTAAAGCAACAGGCATTCCCTGTCAAGTTCAAGACTCCACATAGGCCTCCCTGCCTGGCAAGTACATAATCCATTCCCATTTTCAGCTGCAAAATGGCGGCTCTACTTTCATCCAACTGTTGTGCAATAAGTCTCAAACTCTGGGCCGTTGCATTGGTTACAAGTTCCACTACTGCTTGCAATCGAATTATTCTGTTTAGATTATAAATAGGATCCCGTGCCCCTTGTATGAGCTCATCAGGATTCCAGGAGGCAGGCTCATAATAGGCTATAATGCGCTCTGGTGGCCAATCATCAGTATCACTCCAACTTTGGGTACTTCCTCCTGCTATATGAGAAATATCAGCGTTTCTTCGTGTACGCTTTGCCGAACTAGTGGGCATAATCCACATTGGTGGTAATACCCATCCCAGGAAACAAGTCCCACTCCATTTGGGAGGGAGTTGCTTGTATGCCCATTCTCCACATATCCACCACAACCATCGGGTCTGAGGTTTTTGGTACGTGGAGTGCATAAGGCGAAATATCAAAAGGGGCATAGAGTTCACAGTGCAGTATGTTAGATTGCCTTTTTCTGTCACAGTTATGTTCCACACCAGTTTCCATGCATGAATAAAAGGAGGTGCACAGGGCAAGGTATTCCGAGTTCGATAGGTAGTACCGTTTGCCCAGGTTTGACTATTCTTAATATAATCCCAAGTATAGTGGCAATGAGAAGAGCCTATCATGATAGAATCAGCTGCAGCTGATAATTTATGTACACAGAATTCCCCTTGCACAGGTATAACTCGTATTGGTTTAGTTGAGTTCCATCCGGGGAAATTCTGTACTTCTGTTTGGTGTGGCATTTCGCTTACCATACCAATGGCATTTAATGGTATCGGTAATAAGGGCATACCTCCCTCTGAATCATCTGGTCCAAGAGAGCAAACAAGGCAATTGGTCCTATTTGTAACATTGGCTACCATCTCGGCTAAGCCTACCCACATATTGTGGTCATGGCGGAATCCATATTTAGCAAATTTGGTCAGATTCAAGGACCCTTCCCCTTCCCAAGGGATCAGGATTAATAATAAAATCATGTTGATGTCTAGTATATGCATTTCTTCCACAAAAGATTACCTTATTGTGATAACAAAAAAAATTAGGCCCAATATAATTCCCCAATGACAGAAATGGGGAACCACCAAGACCAAAACATATATCCCGAGGATCCCCAATGAGTAATATCCCTGATAATTGTTCCACAGGGGGGGGCAGTCAATCAATTGTATAAGAGAATCTTCCTGTTCACAATCGCTGGTTCAGACGCTCCTCAAGCTTCAGGCGTGCGCAGGTCAGCCAGCTTCCAGGTTGTGGCTGCAGCAGGCCAGTCGTCTAATGTTGCCCGTGACCTAGCCCGTTCCCCGTAGGGCTAGATACAGGGGTTTTTGGAGAGAGTCAGTTTAAAAGGATTAGAGGGGTCACCTTTGCACGTCCAACTGCCTTCGGACTTCTTCAAACGGGAGTGATGAATCCAGGGGGTCACCTCAGCTACCTTCACCGCTGTTGGAGTAGAGAGCAAGACGGTGTAAGGCCCACGCCACTTAGGTGCAAGTGGATCACGTTTCCACTCTTTCACCCATACGCTATCGCCAGCCTGGAACTGATGAATCGGCTCGGCAATGCTGCACGGCGTGCGCTCGAGGGCCCACCTGTTAAGAGAAACAAAAACACGGGAGAGAGATTGCACTTGTCCCTGTGTCACATGGTCTCCTATTTGTTTGAGGTCAGCTGGAATATCCTGAACAAAGGAGGGTGGCCTCCCATACAGGAGCTCAAAAGGTGACAACTTAAGTCTTTTTGTGGGTGCACACCGAACACGAAACAGTGTTATGGGTAACACATCTACCCATCCCAATCCTGTTTCCTGGGTTAATTTTGCCAATTGGGTTTTCAGAGTCCGATTCATTCTTTCAGTTTTCCCGAACTTTGAGGCCTATATGCTGCATGCAGTCTCCATTTCACTTGTAGGACTCGACATACTTCTTGTACTACTTGATCAATGAACGCTGGCCCATTATCACTTCCAATGCATCTAGGTAATCCAAACCTCGGGATCAATTCAGTGAGGAGTCTCTTAGTTACCTCTCGTGCCTTTTCAGTCCTGGTGGGAAAAGCTTCAACCCATCCGGTAAGGGTATCTACAAACACAAGGAGGTACTTGAATCCCTTAGAAGGGACCAGCTCTGTGAAGTCCACAATTAGGCTTTCCATGGGGACGTATCCCACATGTTGGATTCCAGGAGGTTGTACCGGTCCCTGCCTGGGATTGTTTTTAGCACAAAGAACACATTTCTGTGAAATGCAAGTTGCTAATTGTGATAGGTTAATAATATACAACTTCCGACTGAGACTCTCTCTGGTTGCAGTACCGCCAAGGTGAGTAGATTCATGATAATTTCTTACAATTGTGCCTGCTAGGTGATGAGGTACATAAATCCTATTGTCCGGCAGGATCATCCAACCGTCCTTCACAACCGCTCCTTCCTGTTCAGCCCACTTCCTCTCTTCTGGGGTATAGTGAGGTTTAATTTCTTCTGGAACTACCTCTGGTATGAGGGCTGCTATAAATCCTCCCACAGGCTTCTGGGCTGCCTCTCGGGCTGCTTTGTCAGCAGCATGATTTCCTCTGGTTATTGGATCCCTTCCACGTCCATGACCTTTGCAGTGCATTACAGCAATCTGTTCTGGAGCCCATACTGCTTCCAACAGGATTTCTACTTCAGGTCCATATTTCAAGGCCTTCCCATGGGCTCCGATTAGACCTCTTTCTTTCCATAGAGCTCCATGTGCATGCAGGGTTAAGAAGGCATATTTAGAATCAGTATAGATGTTTGCCTTACATCCGGCTGCCAATTGCAGAGCTCTAGTTAAACCTATAAGTTCAGCTTTTTGTGCTGAGGTGCCAGCAGGCAAAGCTTCAGCTTCCACAACTTCCTCATTGGTGACCACAGCATATCCTGCTCGTCTGGCACCTTCATGCAGGTAACTGCTACCATCAGTATAATATACAACATCTGGATTTTTCAATGGTTCATCTTTCAGATCGGGTCTACTGGAATACACTTCATCCATTATTTGGAGACAATCATGTGATTCTTCATCATCTACCTCTGGTAGGGGCAGCAAAGTTGCTGGATTGAGCATATTCACTACTCGTAGATGAATCCTGGGATTTTCACACAATAGGCCTTGGTATCTAGCCATCCTTGGATTCGTTAGCCAATAACTACCCTTATATTCCATGAGTGTCAGAACAGCATGAGGTACATTCACATACATCGTCTGGCCAAAGGTAAATTTATCAGCTTCTTTGACAAGGCTTGCAGTGGCCGCTACTGCCCTTAGGCATGGAGGCCATCCTTTGCTACTGAGTCCAATTGTTTTGACAAATAAGCTACTGGACGGTTCCAACTTCCTAATCTCTGGGTCAGGACTGCTGCTGCAATCCCATTCTGTTCATGTACATACAGCTGAAAGGGTTTTTCCGAATTAGGCAGTCCCAGGGCTGGGGCCTCCATAAGTCGTTGTTTGATAGCTAAAAAGGCTTGTTGCTGCTCAGGTCCCCATACGAATGGGTCCTTTTCTGCACCTCGAGTGCTTTCATGTAAGGGCTTGGCCAGACTGCTGAAATCAGGTATCCATAGTCTACAAAACCCTGCTGTTCCCAGGAATCCTCTGAGTTGTTTCCTTGTGGTAGGTTCCTTGATAAGGCAAATAGCTTCTTTCCTCTCTGGTCTCAATGCTCGTTGTTGGTGTGAGATGTCAAAGCCCAAATATTTGACCTTTTCTAAACATAACTGTGCCTTTTCTGGGAAACTCGGTAGCCAGCTTCCCAGAGCAAGTGGAGCAGTTCCTCTGTCCCTTCTTTACAGGTATCAAAATCCTTTGCCGCTAGTATAAGGTCATCTACATATTGCAGAACCACCTTTTTCCAGGTATTGAGGGGTAACTTGTTAGATCCTTCGCCAAGGCAGTGCCAAATAAAGTTGGGGAATTTTTGAATCCCTGGGGCAATCTTGTCCAGGTTAGCTGGCCTTTTGTTCCTGTCAAAGGGTCTTCCCACTGGAAGGCAAATATAGGTTGGCTCTGTGGTGCCAGCCGGCAACAGAAGAATGCATCTTTCAAGTCCAATACAGTAAAAATGTTGCTTCTGGTGGGATCAAACTCAGCAAGGTATATGGGTTTGGTACATTTGGGTGCAAGGTCTCGATAGCCTGGTTTACGAGCCTCAAGTCCTGTACTGGCCTGTATTCATCTGTCCCAGGCTTCCGAACAGGCAAAAGGGGTGTGTTCCATTCTGATTGGCAGGGCTTAAGCAGACCATATTTTAATAGGCGGTCCAAATGTTTCTGGATGCCCTCTGCTGCTCGCCGGGTAAAGGATATTGCTTTACAGATACAGGGGTAGCCATAGGTTTTAGGGTTACTACAATTGGAGCTATATTCTTAGCCATTCCTGGTGGGCTATTTTCGGCCCATACTCCTGGTGGCACTTGTAGGGTTCGGAGGAGCTTGTTTAATTCTGTATCCAATGTGGGTTGGACTTGCAGGGCTGACATTAGGCGCCATGATTGTTCCTTAGGTACTGAGAGGGAAATTATTCCTGCTGCCTTTGATGGCAGTTTCATTTCTGGACCTCGAGGAGTGAAGGTGATTTGGGCCTGCAATTTGGACAGCATATCTCTACCTAAGAGAGGCATTGGACACTCAGGTATATACAAAAACTGATGGGTTAAATGATGTCCCCCAATCTGGCATTCTAAAGGTTGGAGGAAAGACCTCTTAGCTGACTGACCAGTGGCACTTTTAATGACTACACTTTTGGATGCCTTTTTCTGCAAAAGTTCTGGGAGTACTGAGTATTCAGCGCCAGTATCTATCATAAAGTCTATTAAATGGCTCCCTAATTGAATTTTGACCGTGGGCTCCTGGAAGCCTAACTTTATGGAGTCCGGTCGTTCCTAGTCTTGGGTAAAATCCTCCTCTGCCAGTCCAATGAAATTGTCTCTACTCCGTCCTTGTCCAGGTCTCTGATATCTTCCATCTCGGATCATTCCCCGTCCCCGTCCCTGGTTTCTTGGGCCGGAGCCTGGGCCTGGGCCTGGGCGTACTTCTTCCAACCTCAGGGGTTCAGGACACTCCCGCTTCCAATGACCCTCCTTCTTGCAATTCGCACATTGATTCCTTCCCAGTGGTGGATTCCTTCCCCGCCCTCTCCCTCCATTTAAAGGGCGGTAGTCTTGCTTCACTGCTGTGGCTAGCATCACCATCTTTTCCTTCTGCCACTTCTTCTTCTCTTGTTTCTCAGCCTCATCCCTATTCCGATAAACTCGGCGTGCAATGGCCATAATTTGGCTCATCAGCATCCCTTCCCAGCCTTCTGACTTCTGAATTTTCTTACGAATGTCAGAAGCGCACTGAGCCACAAAAGTAGCAGTAATCATTCTGCTGTTTGCAGGGGCTTCAGGGTCAAAAGGAGTCCATATACGATAGGCTTCCTGCAGCCTCTCTAAAAGTCTCCCGGACTCTCATTCGGTTTCTGTTCTACTTCTGAGACTTTGGTCATATTAGTGGGCTTCTGGCATGCCCTGCGGATACCTTGCACAAGCGTCTGGCGGTAGGTGGTAAGCCTGGCCAGGTGAATTGCATTGTTTGGATCCCAATTAGGATCCTCCAAGGGAAAATTGTCCTGGAGATGACGGTCAACATTAAGAATATTTCCCACTCTGGCCTGCTCACGCAAATATATCTGTGCCTTTTCAATTATGTCTCTTCTTTCCTCAGTGGTGAACAGAGTATTCAGGAGCTGGCGGCAATCTGTCCAAGTAGGACTATGAGTATTTACTATTGAAGTCACCAAGTCCATCATAGCCTGAGGTTTTTCTGCGAAAGACGGGGTGTGTGTTTTCCAATTCATCAGATCCGTAGTTGTAAATGGAATGTACTGGAGGGTCGAAGTTCGAGGTGGCCGTGGTCCGAGTTGCCCGTTAACCAGCACAGGCTCCTCAAGTGCATCAAATACTCTTCTGAGAGGGGCTACTACGTGACCTTTCTCTTCGCTTTGCTTTAGGGGCCTCAAATCATAGGGGATAGTATTTGTCCCAAGGCGTTCTTTTAACAGCTTTATACGCCTGGCTGTATTGCTTACTGACCGATCAAAGTCTCCCTGTAACTCCTGTAATAGTTCTCTAGGACTTGGATGTACAGGGGTTTGGGGTGGGCAATCAGTTGTTCCACTAAAGGAGACTGTAGATGGAGTTCTACTGGGACTCACAGGTGGAATAACCACTTCTGCTTGGGCTTTATTATAGGACTCCAATGCCTCCTGAAGATATTTATCATAATCTATCAAGGAATCAAGCTCTGTGACTCCAGCCCCATTATTCCTTCCACTTTCTTGCCTTGGGGTTACAACTGGTGGAGTGTTTGGATTAGGCTCCCTCGATGTGGAGCATAGGGTGGAGGTGGAAGCACCTCTTCCTCTGGTCCCTCAAAAATGGGTTTGAGTTTATTTGGCAAGATTCCTTTTCTAGCTTCGGCTTTTACTGCCAATAATTTGCATTGTTGGACTTTGCATTCCCTTATCCATGGAGGATTATTATTTAATGTGCTCAGCCAAGAATCTATATATGAAAATTGTTCTGGGCACCCTCCAGTTTCTTTGGTGATGTTAGACCAAAGTTTGCTTGCTAAATTTATATCAAAACTTCCCTGAGGTGGCCATCCAGTATTTTGTTTTGGCCAGTCTAATTCACATAACGTTCTCAAGCGCTCTGGCGTCATTTTGACTCCATATGCTCCTGAGAAGGCTTTCTTAAAATTATTTAACATACATTCAAGAGGTGTATTTTCCCCTTTGAACCTCCAACTCCCATTGTATGGCCCTGTGAAGTATCCACTCAGTCACTCACACACACGCTTCGTGGGGATCCTTGCCTAGTGAAGTCGCCTTACTAGGAACCGAAGTACTACCCACTCCACACTCAGGTCAGCTACAAATTGTACTTTCTCACACATACAATGCGCTGGATACTTCACCACACTCTACCTCCCAATCTTTCCCTTTTCCCTCCACCAGACCACCATCTGATGTACCCAACCACCTAGCGTACTCAGTTCCCCCTTACTGAGACGCAGAAGTTTGATCAAGACTTCTCTTCCTCCCAATTAATTGGAGGGCCACAACCCTTTGTGCACTTACCCTTAGCTGGTTCCCTGTTTATTTCTCTGGTTACCCCCGGTCCGTCGCCGCCAGTGAGCAGGGTATCAGACAGACGAGACTTCTGCGTCCCCTGGAAAAATGTTCCAGTGCGCGCTGGGTAAGCGGTCAGTGGTCCTCCCTCTTGTACCCTGCCCGCTAGGGCGAAGGGGCTGCGTTCCAGCAGACCACTTATCCGAGTCACAGAGGCACCATAAAATGTAGCACCCTGCTTGTGGTTAACGCTTAGCTGGAATGAAATATTCAACGCAGCAATAGAGAAATTAAAATAATAATTTATTTGTCAGACAAATAAATGAGAGACACAGTGGTATATGGATACCAAAGCTCTGCCTACTCCAGCCCTGATGGCCAGCACTTATATTTCCTCAGCCCAGCCCCCTTGCTCCTCCTTTGGCTGCCTCTGTCCAATCAGCCTGGTTGAAATTCCTATTGGTTGTTTGCTAGAACCAATCATAAAAGATACACCCATTTCCTATTCCCTTTTATGGGAGACAAAAAGCTATATTTCCTTGTATCCATAAATGGCAGACAAGTAGCCATATATCTTACATTTACCTCGACCAGGCACCTCAATTACCAGATAACCTTTGGCCCCTGTTGCCCTATTCACCGCAAACCAGATGGCTAAAGCAGATGGTGCATGGTTTCTAATTTTTTTATCTTAAAGAGATCTTGAGTTCACCTTCTCACCCACCATAATAGGAATCTAACATAAGAATCTAACATTTCTTACTTTCTAAATCCTTTGCATAATCACATTTAAGCCAATATATTTCATACATAACATAGATAGATTTTTAGAAGGAAAGGCCTTTTCAAATTAGAAGGAACTTAGTAAATTCTCTGAAGCTTCAAAACAGTTTGGAGAGAGGCCTTTCCCTAACCAGCAGCTGTTTCTAAGAGCAACCTCTTCCATTTAACCTTTAACCTTATGGCTCGAGTCTTCTGTTAAACAATAAATTTCACTATTTACCAGTTCTTAATTGTGTTTTTACAGCTTGATTGTATTCTGGTCAGTGTGACCTTTTGCTCTCTGGCTCTAATTTCCTTTTACAACCTTGAAATACTTTTATTTATAGCAGTGGGGCCCCTTGAACAGCTGCCGGAGTATTCAGCTGCTCTTCTCCCTTGCAGAGAAAAATATATTTACAAATATAATTTTTTTAAGCTCAAAGCAGATTTTGATCAGATGCCTCAAATGCACTCAGGATAGTTGCAACTCTTTCATGGCTGTATCTAGGATTCACTATCCTCTTTGATGGGATGTTTAGTTTAGGTGGGATTAATCTAATCTTACCCTTTGATGTATGCACAGCAGTATTTATAGATATTAGCTAATCTAACAAACACAATAAAAATGCTTTAAGAAATATTCTACATTTTTTATTTTTGCAATAATTTTACAAAATATTTAAGAAGAGCGCTGCCAATTTTGGTATCTGAGTGAACAAGTCATGATCATTAGATCATGTCATTTTGCAGGCTCTGTTGCAAACCTTTTAATTAGCTTTAATTATTGCAAACTGGACCTGGAGCATAGACAAGCCTATTTTCTAGAATAAGTGACAAATCAAAGTAAAAAAGTAAACATGGGCATGTGGAACATAATCGTCTTGTGGACGAGCAAGAGAGAACTGCTTGTATTCAGCAGACAGGATGAAACCGAACTTTCTTTGTTTCTAAGGGGTGAATGCACTAGTTTGCAGCAAAAGAAAGGATATATTATATAAAATATTTCTTTCTGGATTGGTAATTTTATTAAATGCATCAGTTTTTGAGATATTGGATTCCATTACTTCCAGCCAACATTTGTAGATAGGCAACACACATATACAATGTACGGAAGTTATTGCATAACCCCCATTGGAGGGTTTGCAGTACATTGGAACCTCGGGTTTCAAATGTACTTCATTCCGGAAGACTGTTTGCATAGCTGTCAACTTACAGATTTGAAAATAAGGGACCAGCAGCCTCAAAAATAAGGGATCAGCAGCCAAAATAAGGGATTTCCTTTCCCCCCACCATGTGCCCCCGCTCCAGACAGACCTTTTCCCCGGCAAGGGTGAGTGGGCCATCGATGTTAAACTTCTGAGCCCCTCTGAGCCAAAGGCAGAAAGCCCAGCCAGCAGCCAAACAAAGCCTCAAGCGGTGGTTCCCACAGCGCAGCAACCTGGCAAAGGGGATGCAGCAAGGAAAACCACCGTCACCTCTCCGCTGGGAAGCGCTGAGCAAAGGCGAGTCCCCAGGCAACGCGGCCGATTTGATCGGCACAAGGCATGCAAGCTCCACCCCCCAGTTGTTCTTAGACTCCTTATTGGGTGAGCAACGCAGCCAAGCAACACAGTTGGAGCCTCCCTCCTCCCTGGCCGGCAGGTAGGGAGGGAGAGGAGCTGCTTCCTTTGAAACCCGGGAAATTTATGGGATATCATCAATCCGGGACAGCAGCAGGACACGGCGCTGGGATAAGGGAGTTTCCTGCCAAATAAGGGACGGTTGACAGCTATGACTGTTTGTCTTCCGAAACATTAGAAAACCGAGGATTTTGTGGTCGGCAAAATCCATTGAAAAAATGGAAAAACATGCAGCGGAAGCCATTCGACTTCTGAGGAATGTTCAAAAATGGAAGCAATGACTTCCAGGTTTTTGGCATTCAGGTTCCGAATCATTCGGCTTCTGAGATGCTTGAAAACCAAGGTTCCACTGTACATCACAATCCTAGATTTGCAGAAAGTCAGGGTAGAAAAGGTGAATAAAAATGAAGGCAGGTTGCACAACAGCATTGGGCGTGGGAGAGAGAAGGGGAGGGAGAAGAGAAGAGGGAAAAGGTGCTTTAAAACAAAGCACTCTCTCTCTGCCTCATGAGACCAGGGCCCTGCAGGATCTGATTTCTTTCCGCAGGGCCTGTAAGACAGAGTTGTTCCGCCTGGCCTTTGGCTTGGAGCCAATTTGATTCCCTCCCCCTCTTTCTTTTTCTTTTCCTTTCTCCTCCTGCGATGAGGCTACATTTTAATATTTTAATGTTTCAATATTTTAATGTTGTATTTTAATGTTGTTTTTAAGTTGTATTCATTCAACTTGTTTTTATTATTGCTTGTTAGCCGCCCTGAACCCAGCCTTGGCTGGGGAGGGCGGGGTATAAATAAAAATTATTATTATTATTATTATT